ATTTTGACTTTATTCTCAAAACATTTCGACTTTATTCTCGTAATTTCAACTTTATTCTTGAAAAATGTCGACTTTATTCTAAAAAATATTTCGACTTTATTCACGTAATTTTGGCTGAGTTTACAAAACATTACGACTTTATTCTCAAAATATTATGACTTTAATCTCATATTGCTGACTTTATTCTCAAAATATTATGACTTTAATCTCATATTGCTATGACTTTATTCTCAAAGTACTACAAATTTAATCTCAATGCTGTGACTTTATTCTTAAAATATTACGACTTTATTCTCAAAATATTATGACTTTATTCTCAATGTGACACTGAAGATGATGCTGAAAATTCAGCTTTACATCACAGGAATGAATTACATTTTAAGCTATATTCAAATAGAAAACAGTTGTTTTGAATTGCAATAATATTTGACTGTTTTACTGCATTTCTGATCAAATAAATGCAGCCTTGGTGAGCATAAGAGACTCCTTTCAAAAACATTTTTAAAAAATCTTACCGATCCCAAATTTTTTCAACCGTAGTCTACCTAAAAATGCACAAAACAGTCAGACCTTAGCAACTGTAATAAGCAACGCTATATCATCATGGCAGTTATTTTGCTCAGACAAGCGCCACTCACTTTTCTTTCCGGAAATGTAAGACTCTGGTTTGCTTTGCCCTGCAGAAAGAGCTCGGTGAGCGTCAGTCCGAGAGCTTGGAGAAAGTGCGGCAGTTGCTGCCTCTGCCCAAGCAGACGCGTGACGTCATCACCTGTGAGCCCCAGGGGTCACTCATTGACACAAAGGGCAACAAAATTGCTGGATTCGAAAAAGAGGTACGTAGCACATTATAGGTGCCATTGGCTTCTGGCCATTCGCTTACCTTTGCATTGTGATTTCTGGCATACAGGGTCTTCAAGTGTCGACTAAGCAGAAGATTTCTCCTTGGGACGTGTTCGAGGGGCTGAAGCACTCGGCTCCGCTGTCCTGGGGCTGGTTTGGGTCCGTGCGGGTCGACCGCAAAGTCACGAAGTTTGAGGAGCAGCAGCGGCTCCTGCTTTACCACACCCACATAAAGCCCAAACAGCGCAGTTACTATCTGGCGCCCCTCAACCTGCCCCAAGAGGAGGAGGAGCCACCTACACCTGTGCCTCCTGAGCCGGACAAGAAGGTGGATCCAGGGAAGCCGGAGAAGAGCGTCTCTAGTGTCGCACCTGACACCAGTAAGAAGAAAAAGAAAAAGAAACCGACATCCGCAAATAAACAAGAGGTACGAATGAGAAAAGAAGCAAAACATGCATCTCCTATGTATTTACATTACATTTACATTTAGTCATTTTGCAGACGCTACAATTGGGGAATACATAAAGCGATTCTTCTTAAAGAGGCAAACAGACACAGGAAGTGCTTGTAAAACGAAGTTTTAGGCATTGTTCAAATAAGTACAAGCTAGAAAGGGAAGGAATAAATAAAGAGAGAGTTTTTTTTTTTTTTTTTAAAGGGGTCATATGATGCTTTTTTAAAGATCATTATTTTGTGTATTTGGTGTAAGGAAAACTTGAAATCGCATCATATGACCCCTTTAAGTCAAGTAGCGTCGAAAGAGATGAGTTTTCAGCTGTCGCTGAAAATGTTGAAAATGAAAACGCTGAAAATGTATATTTGTGTATTTTTTATTAGATCCTTTAGAAGTAATTTTCTGCATCTGCGGGTTTTTTTTTTTTTTTAGGTTTTTTTTAGCTTTGTTTAGTTACCGCCAGCTTTTTTGTTCGTTTTCACAAAATTTTCA